ACTGATACCAGTGCTCTTTCACCTGCATTTACAACATTGGCTACAGCGGAATGACCACTGAATACATTGGCTTGATCTCTCAAGTACGGAATTTCAATTAATTTCTTCATGGCCATTGCCTTGCCAACACCGTACCGGCGGGAGGTTGTGTCACATCCGGTCACTGCGTGAAGAAAAGGCAGATTCTTGCACACTTCACTGCCCAACTGCTCTTGAACTTTCTTCATGTGCCAGACGCGCGCACCTCTTGCGTTTTTCTTTTGCTCAGGCCTGAAGAAGAGATCGCAGCCATCCTGGCGAGCATGGTAGCATAGGAGAACCAACAAATCGGTGTCATCTCCAACAAGAACTGTTGTGTTGGCCATAGCAGACTCCACTGCTGTTTTGACTATGAGTAGATCAGCGTCTCCATTAGCATGGTAGGTTGTGCAGCCAGCTTTTTGGAGAGCTTGGCTCAACATGACGAGAAACCGTTGCTTGTTCTTGGGATTCGAGAGGAAGTTATCCTTCTTCAGCGTAACGACCATACTTTCTGTAAAAATGACTGTCGCTGCAACCTTCCCAGATGTGCGCCTTTTCAGAGATGTTGACATGCACAAGGCTGTCACTATCAGTCGGCTTTTCTCGAACTTGCCTGTACACTTGAAACTGATTCACAATGTTGAATCTGTGTTTCTTGTAAAAGGGTGAGACTTTCATTGAACTTCTTTAACAGTTGATCCAGTGGTACCGTAAAATCAGTTTTCCCCATAATACTTACCAATTCTGTAGGTACATCTTTTCGTGGTATCTTTTTTTGCAACCACTGTGTGTAAGTTATGTTTTCACTTACCTGGACCTCATTCTGAACTACTGCAGGTTATGGTTTGTTTTTGCACACATTGCATTCATTATGTGCGCATTCCATACTTTTTGGATCACAAACCACTTCATCAGATAATCTGTCTAAATCAGCAGTTGGAATATGCCCTTTCTTTTTCAGAGCATCTGCAATAAATTCTGTATTTTCGTGAATTTTGCAAAGACATGTTTGTCGGTCATTTTCTGTTGGTTCTAAAACATTAAAGGGTCTCCATTTACAAAATAAATGAATAATGCACTTTGGTTCCCACTTCAGCAGTGAATTTCATATAAAGCTTAGAAAGGCTAGATGTCAGTAGTACATGTTTCTGTGAGCCAGCTTGATTTCAATGCCAGTTGCGCTCAGTCTTACCTTTTTCTTTTGTCATGTGTCATTAGCCAAGTCATTTAATTTTTTTTTTGACTAGACCACATGGTATATTTATGTTTCCCTAATTTAAATTTCCCATTGAATGTGGTTCCCCGTTAAATAATTCTGAATGTGGAGAGCTGCCTAATCCTAGTTTGGTTATTAGGTAGTGAAACTCTAGCAGCGGCTAGGCAAATAACACATGTAGATTAACTATGGCCTGGGTATATTAGTCCGACAGGACTGCGATACTGAATCCTTCTTACAAAATGAGAACACTTTTATCAACAAACTATTATCTATATAAAATCTATCTAGCTATGTAAACTGGTTTCCTGGTGAGGTTGGGATGGTTGTCGTCTCCTCCTAGTTGGTTGTAGTTGTCCTTTTCTGGTCTCACCGGTGACGACGTTGCTGGTGTAGCTTGGGTCGCTGGTTCTCCTCTTCTTTTATCGGTGAGATGGGGGCCTCCAGCCGGAATTCCGCAAGTGCCTGTTGCGTCTCTTGCTCCCGTGACGTTGATTTCCTGGTGCGAGGATCTTTGGTCGGCTTATGGGATCTATCCTGTTCATAGGTGTGGTCGTGATTTCTGAGCTGGTTGTAGAGCTCTTTCCGAGTATTTTCCTCTTCTATTTCTCCTAGAATTTTCCTGATTCGTCCTCTTATTCGGCTCAATCGAAGGGTGCTTCGGGTAATTTCAGCGTGGATGGTAGATGGTGCCGGTAAATCCAGAGGGTGAATTTTCCATGTGGTTGTCTGCTTGTCGGTGATTTTCGTGGGCGGTCCAAATAGAAGTGGCTCTCCATTGCATGTATGGAGGAGTTGTTCCAGCTCTGTCTGACTAGTTGCTAGGTTCTGCGCCCGTTTCCTTTTTTGTCGTGCTTGCTCTTCTTGGTGGGAGTATCTTGTATTGAAGGACTCATAAGGCTGTTGTGGTAGTTCCGTGCTTCTCCTGGCAATGGTGAATCCCACGGGGTTGGTAAGAGGTTCTGGTCTTGCAGTTGTAGGTGGCCTCGGGGTTTCGTGCAACCTCAACTGTTCCGTGTGGGGTGCAGGCATGTCTAGATGTTTTCGTGAGCAGTGCTTCATGATATCCTCCCGTCTTGCGGAATGTTGTTTCGTGCAGTGCGGACATGCGTACTGTCTTAGTAAAGGTCCGTGCTGACTGGTTAGATGTCGCCGTGAGTTGCGGAATTTGGAGAACTCCTTCCGGCATCCGGGTATATTACATACGTAGGGTTGTTTTCCTAGTACTTCGATTTTCTCCTCTGGTCATACATCAGCGAACGAGCTTGGCACTCGCCCGCTCGCCAATGGCGAGTAAAAGCTAATGCTGACTTTAGTGCTACAATTATAAAAATAATTGTATAAAACTTTAATCAAATCTTGGTTCCTTACGTTATATATTCAAACATTGATGAAAAACAGTTTTGTGATGTGTGCTAGCGATTGTGAAGGGCGGCTATCACACGGCATCCTCACTTTATATTATCAAAGGTTGCCGACAGTCAGCACAGCGTCTCTCCGGATTTCTTTCTGAATATCCTTCAGGCTTCATAATATGGCTTTATTGAGTTCCTTCAGATCAAGACAAACTCTATTTCCATCAGGGTTTTTCACGACAACAATGGGGCTGACCCACTTTGTAGGTGTCTCAACGCGTGTGATGATGCCACGTTCTTCCATCTGCCCCAACTCTTACTTGACGTTGTCTTTGAGAGTGCGGAATTCTTCGTGGGTTTTGCGACAACCGGACTCACGTTCGGGTCAACTTTAATGTCGTAATTTCCAGGAAGACAGCCTATACCCTGAAATAAGCTGGAGTGTTCTCTCATCACGTCTTCAGCTGTGTTCTGGTCTGTGTTAATCGAATAAAGTCGTTTGACCAAGTTCAGTTCGATGCTTGTGGACAAACCCAGTACAGGTACCACGTCATTCTCAACCACGTGTAGTTCAGTGTCATAGTATCTGTCTGTACAGAATACTGACCTTCAGTTTGCCACATGTTTTGATTTCGTGACCGGAGTACACCACAAGTTTGCTTTTGCTCTTTGGCATCTTTTTGACATCGAGTCTCGCTTGTTGACACGTTTTCCGACCAATCACGTTACACTGCGCACCTGTGTCAATCTTGAAGTTGATTGGTGGTGACTGGTTGATACTGAGTGGAACTTTCTACCCATCCTTCAGTCCAGAATCTACACTGTACATGAAGAACTTGTCATAATCGTCATCTTCTGTCTCGTCAAGGTGATGCACTTTCTCCGAGTATGACTGTCTAGCTGATGCACGCGATCTGCACATATGCGTGAAGTGATTGTTTCTCGTACACTTTCCACATACTTCCAAATGCAGGAAAATTGGCTACACCTTTAATGTGATGCTTACCGCAGTATGTACAGCCTGTAGTCTTGTGACTGTCAGCTTTCACTTTCGGTTTTGTGACTTTCTTCTTCACGTGTCCGTGTCCTTGTTTGAATTCATGGACATTTTTCTCATCACCAATTTCCTTTAGGTGTAATTCGCTAGCCTCTGCAGCTTTGCAGATTTCAACAGCCTTCTGTAGGGTTAGGTCTCTTTCACGAAGTAGTCTTGCACGCACGCTGTCATTGCATATGCCACAGACTATTCTGTCACAAATGAGCGAGTCATGCAGCGTGCCAAATTCACACGTGGAAGCTTTCTGTCGGAGTTCGGTGACATATGACGCAATATTCTCGCCATCTTTCTGACTTCTAGTGTTAAAACTATGTCTCTCATACGACACATTTTTTCTAGGGTTACAGTACTCTTCAAATTTGGATTTGATGTCCTTTACTTTAGCTTTATTTTTTTCCGAACCTTCCACGGTAGACCACGTGAACGTGTGTGTTGTACACCTCAATTGCTTCTGGGCCGAGAACATGTAACAGAGTCATGCCTTGCACTTTTTCATCTTTCTCTGCAAGTCCTGACGCAACAGCATATGTCAAACTGCTGGACGAATCTCCGCCAGTTCTCTGCCACATTGCCTGTCACCGGTAGGTATAGCGGTGGCTGTAGGCGTTCCATTAACCGTTCCGTTAGGCGTTCCGTTAGTGACTTCAGATATAATTACAAGATCGGGGCCTAGACCAGGAATATCAGCCGGCCTCGCGCGGATAATCACATACCTACAAGAAGGAGGTGCGTATATATATATATTCATAGATATATAGCTGTTTCCCATGTATATATTATACAGATAACGCACGGCCCGGCGTGCATCAGTGTAAATGCAGCGCAGCGCGAGGTATCTTTAGACTGGTGCGCACTGCGCACGAGCCACTTGCGGTGAGTACAAGGGCAGAGTTCCAGGGGCACTCTGGGCCGCCTTCGGCTGTGATACCTCGGTTCCGACCAGACGACTAGCGGGCAACCATCACAGCCGAATGGGATTTAGTACCGACCGTGGTTCATTAAAAATGGCGGCGCCCATGCAGAATCGCGCTTCAGCTTGTTTTTATGAGTTTTTGAGTATGATTATGGACGATGATGAACAAATTCTTCTCAGACAGCTTAGTCTGATGATGTCTACTCAAGCATTAGGTGTAGTGGACAAATTTCCAGTTCAGCTGCCGAAGATATTGCAGTATGCCGAAAATATAGTCCCACAGTACAACTTCGACGACTTCAGGTAAGGTAGCATGCAGCGAGACGTTGTTGTGATGTTTTTTAGGCTTATGCCTCTGCTCTTTAGTCTTGGTATTTTGCCAGTAGCAGTACCTTATTCTAAATTAGTCTAATAATAAACGTCATTTCAAGCATACAGGTATATTTCTTTCTTTTGTGATTTCTATTAATTATTTATTGTTGTTATGTTAGGGAGGCAGGCCTATTTATTGTTTGTTTTCAAAATTTCTTCTTACATACATTATGCCTATTTATTTTAATAATATTTCAGGTATCACTACAGACTGTCTAGAGAATCATTCCAATACCTACTCGAACAATTAGGACCACGTCTAATTGCTACCAACATAGGGGGTGATGTTGCAGTGTTGCCCCAAAAGATGATGCTAATATTTGTGTGGTACATGGCCACTCAGGAATCAATGAGGGAAACTGCTCATCTGTTTGGAATTTCAATCTCCACAACTCATGGTATTATCATGAAAATCCTGGACATTGTAACCGACAGTGCAAATCAGGTAAGTTCTCAAATCTAGTTGATCTTATTTCTTTTATCTGTTTTCCAGTATTTCATCATTTATCGATGTTTCAAAGCAATTTTACAAGCTTACTTTTCATGAGGTTATATTGATTAATAAAGTTGGACTTGCCCATTTTTACAGTTTATCCAGTGGCCAACATTAGATGAACAAGAACGGATTTCCAGAGAGTTACAGGAGGAGTACATCATTGATGGCGCAATAGGATATATAGATGGAACACACATCAGATTAAACCACCGAATCAAAGAAGATCAAGATTACATCAATCGCAAAAAGTTCCCTTCAATTCAGCTACAGGTCAGGGGCGTGTACAGGGGGGGGTGGTACCCAGGGGGCTACACCCCCACCGCTCTGGGAACCCGAGGGCCCGGTGCCACCGCTACACTCCTCCCCCCTTCAGGATCGACCGTCAGGTCGATCCCAAAGGCCTTCCGAGCGGTGCACCGGCGCCCTATTCGTCCGCACCTACTGCTGGGGTGGCTTGTCCCCGGGGTTCAACAGGGATTGCATGGCCTCCGCCCTCCTGAGTTCCCCCAGGGCCGCGATCTCGACCACGCGCGCGTGGCGCAGGTGGTTTTGAGCCCAGAGGACGGCTTGCTCAAGCTGCTCCACCCCCATCTGGTGCACGAGTTCTGGTGCCGGCGTGCCGTCTGCGCCGCTGAACGCCGGACAGTCCCAGTTCCCGCTTTTCGCCTCCGGCGTTCCCTCCCACAGGGTACAGAAGCGCCGGAACACGCCCCGTTCGCTGTCTGGAATGTGCTCCAGGCACATTGGCTCCAGCGATCCAGCTGCCATGGCTGGCTGGAACGTCGACGCGGAGGACTCCGCGGGCGCCCGAGCCAACGCAGCTGATGGGGTCGGTGTCGCTGCAGTCGACGATCGCCTCGCCGACGCTGCCTCCCGTCTCGCCGCACGCTTTGCCCCCATCGACGCCGCGCGCTTCGTCGCTGCTGCTGTCGACGTCGCACGCTCCGTCCGAGTCGACGGTGCGTGCTTGGCTGCAGCCGACGTCGCGCGTTCCGTCCGGGTCGACGGTGCGCGCTTCGCGGCAGCTGACGTCGCGCGCCCTGCGGCAGTCGACGTCGTGCGCTCCGTGGCAGGCAGCACTACACTGGTAGCGTGAACTTTTGCCTTCTGGGGCGCATTGGTGGGCGGACCCCGCTTCAAGGAGGGCCGGGGCGCAGCTGCAGGCACAGGCATGGGCGGCCTGGTGCCAGCCGCTGCCTGCGCGTAAGCCCGGCCATCCCTACGCACCGGTCGCAGGATAGCTCGGCCGGCTGGTGGTGACGCCGGCGCCACCGGATGGGCGCTCTGCCTCACCGCCCTCCTCTCCCGGAGGTAGCCCTTCGCGCACCCCCTGTACTCGGGGGTACGGGTGTGTCGCTCTGGCCACCTCCCGTCGGGCGCCCATCCTGTAGACCTGACCTAGGCGTTGCGCTGCTGCCAGGTGGTGTGACAAGCGGTACAGCACTGCGCCTGGGTAGGCCTTGTCACACCCCCGGATCGGGCACGGAGCGACCATACTCTCCCGCCGATGGTACTCGGCGTGGTGGTCGACTACGTGCCAGGTCGGCACGCCGCATCGAACGCACCAGTTGACTTATAACCTAGGATCAGAACCAGAACTGGGGCCGCGACCCAGAAACAGATTCAAGAAATTCGTGTCATCGTAGCGGATCATGCAATGCAATGCATCACATATGCAGATGAACGAAGCAAGGTACTCATACAGTAATGCGGATGATGAGGTGGGGAAAAAAATTCGGATGAACATCACACAAGTTTGATGACAAGTTCATACGCATGCCAGCAAGGTGACAACGAAGAGAACACAATGTACTCAATGCCGAAGGATGTGATGATATGGGGTGCACGGGTGCAATGAAGGCCATGGCTGATTGGGGTTTTCGAGCCTAGTTGACTCGGTAATTGATGTAGACATCAATATTTAAACTAGTAGACTTACATAGTCATTAATCGGGGCGTTATCCCGCGCACGTATTAAGTTATTAGGGATGCGGACCGCTATTCTGGAAGCTATGGTGTAAGACGAATATATGCAGGACCGCACCCTGGGAGCTGTTTAGTTTCTAAAAGGCGTGCGGTATCTCAGGGCGCTCAAGGTGACAGCAAGGAGAGCACAATGTACCTGAGAGAGGCAGTTCGCCAGTAAAGAGTTGGTCGGCCAGTAGCAGACGTACATGGCGTGAGGATGGAGGCCTAACCTCAAACTAACCTCAAATGGACCCGGAAGCATCATTGATGCAAAATATCGGCCTTGGCCAAATGCCACCCACAGACAACTATAGTGGGGCCCTGAAGACCTTGGGGAAGTTTTGGGGAATTGGAATTTGGGGCATTTGTGGGGATTGGGTTTCCTTGGCAATTGGGGAGGTGGAACATGTGGGGGGTGGGGGTTCCGTGGCAGCAAGGGGAGGGCGGGATGAATAAATCGCGGGGGGGTAATTCCCCACAACGTACAATACAAGACGTATCGACTGGATGAGCTGGACTTCTCACAGGCAGCACGTAGCACGTTTGAATCGCGCGACGGGGAACAGCCGCACAATGCGGAATAATGCAGAACCGCATTTATGGCGGGTAGATTTTACGGCCGGATGCCATTCCTGACGCCAACTCCGTTTAGTCGCCTCCTACGACATGAAGGAGATACATTAGGCGTATTCGATTGCCGGACCTACACGGCTGAAACCAACCCCCCTAACAGTCAAAATATTAGGCTAACCGCGAAGCTTAATGTCTATTGTACACCACGAATGTGCTCAGCTAGTACTAACAATCAATAATCGTATCTCCCAACACCCCTAAACACCTAAAGAAGTTGCTGGGTTGTTCGTTAAGCAAATATCTAATTTGCCTGTCAATTCCGTTAATATAGTCCGTGATTGGCTGAATCTCAAGGGTAGATGCCAAATCCCAATTGGATTGGGTAATGGTCATTGTCCCTTTCAGTACGAATACAGCCCCTTGTGTGGCTGCCGTATCACCAAGGGCTGTGGCAAAACACAGAGCGAATCTGGGAGAGGAATATGAAAACCTCTTAGTGCTTAGGCCATACCTTACTGAAATAACTCTTAACCCGAGTAACAAGATTGCTCTTTTCCGTTCCGTGGGACACCACCTTTACACGTGGCTCCTGTACTATCGCTATTGATTCCACAGAATGTGCACTATCTGGAACCATAGGTATAGTCTCTATCACTTCTGGCGTCTTTGCCTTCTTCTCGTCTTCATGTTCATCTTCATCTTCATTTTCATCTTCATCTTCATCTTCATCTTCATCTTGCGTTAGCTGCTGAACATCTCCTGATGAAAAAGGAATATTTACTTCCTTCTGTCCGAGATGTGGGCTCGTAAGCTCCACATAGCTATAAGCGTCGATAGCTCTATCAAAATCCGTCTTAATATCTCTCTTAGCCACTCTCCGGATTTCTTTCTGAATATCCTTCAGGCTTCATAATATGGCTTTATTGAGTTCCTTCAGATCAAGACAAACTCGGATATTTCCATCAGGGTTTTTCACGACAACAATGGGGCTGAACCACTTTGTAGGTGTCTCAACGCGTGTGATGATGCCACGTTCTTCCATCTGCCCCAACTCTTACTTGACGTTGTCTTTGAGAGTGCGGAATTCTTCGTGAGTTTTGCGACAACCGGACTCACGTTCGGGTCAACTTTAATGTCGTACTTTCCAGGAAGACAGCCTATACCTTGAAATAAGCTGGAGTGTTCTCTCATCACGTCTTCAGCTGTGTTCTGGTCTGTGTTAATCGAATAAAGTCGTTTGACCAAGTTCAGTTCGATGCTTGTGGACAAACCCAGTACAGGTACCACGTCATTCTCAACCACGTGTAGTTCAGTGTCATAGTATCTGTCTGTACAGAATACTGACCTTCAGTTTGCCACATGTTTTGATTTCGTGACCGGAGTACACCACAAGTTTGCTTTTGCTCTTTGGCATCTTTTTGACATCGAGTCTCGCTTGTTGACACGTTTTCCGACCAATCACGTTACACTGCGCACCTGTGTCAATCTTGAAGTTGATTGGTGGTGACTGGTTGATACTGAGTGGAACTTTCTACCCATCCTTCAGTCCAGAATCTACACTGTACATGAAGAACTTGTCATAATCGTCATCTTCTGTCTCGTCAAGGTGATGCACTTTCTCCGAGTATGACTGTCTAGCTGATGCACGCGATCTGCACATATGCGTGAAGTGATTGTTTCTCGTACACTTTCCACATACTTCCAAATGCAGGAAAATTGGCTACACCTTTAATGTGATGCTTACCGCAGTATGTACAGCCTGTAGTCTTGTGACTGTCAGCTTTCACTTTCGGTTTTGTGACTTTCTTCTTCACGTGTCCGTGTCCTTGTTTGAATTCATGGACATTTTTCTCATCACCAATTTCCTTTAGGTGTAATTCGCTAGCCTCTGCAGCTTTGCAGATATCAACAGCCTTCTGTAGGGTTAGCTCTCTTTCACGAAGTAGTCTTGCACGCACGCTGTCATTGCATATGCCACAGACTATTCTGTCACAAATGAGCGAGTCATGCAGCGTGCCAAATTCACACGTGGAAGCTTTCTGTCGGAGTTAGGTGACATATGACGCAATATTCTCGCCATCTTTCTGACTTCTAGTGTTAAAACTATGTCTCTCATACGACACATTTTTTCTAGGGTTACAGTACTCTTCAAATTTGGATTTGATGTTCTTTACTTTAGCTTTATTTTTTTCCGAACCTTCCACGGTAGACCACGTGAACGTGTGTGTTGTACACCTCAATTGCTTCTGGGCCGAGAACATGTAACAGAGTCATGCCTTGTACTTTTTCATCTTTCTCTGCAAGTCCCGACGCAACAGCATATATGTCAAACTGCTGGACGAATCTCCGCCAGTTCTCTGCCACATTGCCTGTCACCGGTAGGTATAGCGGTGTCTGTAGGCGTTCCATTAACCGTTCCGTTAGGCGTTCCGTTAGTGACTTCAGATATAATTACAAGATCGGGGCCTAGACCAGGAATATCAGCCGGCCTCGCGCGGATAATCACATACCTACAAGAAGGAGGTGCGTATATATATATATTCATAGATATATAGCTGTTTCCCATGTATATATTATACAGATAACGCACGGCCCGGCGTGCATCAGTGTAAATGCAGCGCAGCGCGAGGTATCTTTAGACTGGTGCGCACTGCGCACGAGCCACTTGCGGTGAGTACAAGGGCAGAGTTCCAGGGGCACTCTGTTGTTAAAACCTGGTATAATTTCTCAAACTAGGTCCTTCAAAAAGCCCGGAAAGAAGCAAAACTCCAAGAAGCACATCATATCATTCAGAAACTGAAAGTAAAGAAGGCAATTGCTAGAAAGCCATCCGATGACAGTGATGACTCAGTAGTGGTATCATCAGGTGAAAGCAGGAGTGATGAAAGTGATGGAGGTCACAGATATGAAATGAGTTTCATGAAAAAGAAAGTAAAGCTGCTGACAAGTCAGAATAGGCGGCTGCAAACTGAAAATGAAATTCTTTGCCAAGGTGAGTACTCTTATAATAAATCATATTTTCTTACGTAAAAATAATTCCATATTTACACAGGTTTGGCACGAAAAAGAAGTAGTGCTTTAATTTTTAAACTGTATTAAAACATGTTTTGTTTTGGTTGAAAAAAAGGTTTTATCTTAAGTGTTTTTTGCTGATAATAAAATATAAAAGTCTATCATCTTTGGAAAATTCAGTAGTGCCAAAATTATGATACTATGATAGACTGATTATTTAATGTCCAAATTTCTCTGTAAAAATTGGCTGATTTTAGACTATAAGAACTTTAAACTGTACGTAACAAACACACTGATTAGATAGATAGTGAGTGATAATAATTATATTCTTAGGACTCCCAAAAATCTATCGAGGGATGAAGAATTTATTGGAGGATATGCAAAAGACTGCCGCATACAGTAGTTCCAGACCATCTGGCAGCACACTTTCAGCGAGTGAAGTGCAGATACAAGGTATTATGAATTGCTGGCCATAATAATAATAATACATATATATATGTTATTTGTTCTGTTATTTAATTAATATGAATTAGAAAAGGTCATACAAAATTCAGCAATGGCAATGGCAAAAAAAGTTAAAAAGTACAAGTTATGTCAATGTATGACTAAAGGGCTACTTTGCTCTTAGGGATGATTAATGTTTTTTTACTGAAAGCACTTTGAAATACTAATAAAATGCATGAAAGTACATCAACGAAATAAAAGGTTTATATGGCACTATAAAAATTAGTACTTAGTAAATGAGTAATGAGTATATACTATATAGTAATATATATTAAATTTTATTGTAATAGGTCCCAAGGTGCTACGTCCATCAGCATCCACTCTCAAGACACTGATGTCCTCGTACTGGCGCTCAGACGATACCCAGAGCTGTGTTGAAATGTTCACTTTGTAACCGGAACAGAGCAGAGGCGTCGAAGCATTTCACATCAACCGATCTTTGATGTGGTGGGCTCGAGCACCGTCGCAGCACTCCCTGGCTTTCATGCTTTCAGTGGTGCAGACATCACTAGGCGATTTTCAGGAATGAGCAAGAGAAAGTGCTGGAAAGTCTTTGTTGATATGGATCCAGAGAGACCGGGTACAAGATGGCGTTGCGCAAAAGATGCGTTGTTCCCCGACCGCCGAGAGCGGTTAAGCCGCGCACTTCCGCGGGACTGGGCGCACGCGACCGCGGTGTCTCGCGACCTCGGTGTGTCGCAGCATCTCGCGCTGCCCCGCTCTACGGATTCGCGCGCCGAAGGAAGGCGGGCGCGCGAATCCGTATAGCGGGAAGCGTAACATCGCGCAGTTTCGTCACACACCGGCTCGGCTATGGCGGCCTTCGGTGGGGGCATTTGCTGCTGCTGCTGCTGCAGAGCCGCGCTGCGCGGCAGGGGCGAGTTTTTGTTGCTGTTGCTGCTTTGCGAGTATCTACTTAGCTACGTGTAAAAACTGGCACGGCCACGCCACCCCGTGCTCGCAGTATTCGCCCGTTAATTCAGTTGGCAGATAGATTAACTTATTAACCACATTACTTTGCCTTAGCATTGTACTTGCACAACTTGGCAGAGACTGAGCAGTTCAACCCTCAGCAATTTGAAGTTTATGTTTCTCTTTTTTTAAGTAAGTATTTTAGTCTTTGGTGTCCCCAAAGATGAAAATACTCAACTCAAAAGTGATATTTTTGTGATGAAGTTTGTTTAATAATGCTGCCTCAGAGTGCAGGAAATTGCATCCAAGAGGTGTAATTTTCACAAAAATTCCGGGGGACGTTTAATCATGGAACCCCTTTCCTAAACCCACCCCCGTAGTCGATTTTTTCACTATCGTTTGACAAGCATTTTTGTTTTAAAATTTGGGCGAGTACAGATTCTGTTTGGGCGAATTAACTAATTGACTCACTCGCCCAGTTTGTCGAGAGGTTTTTATTTTAAAGCTCTAACACTGATACATGGATATCGATTTCTGCCATCATGCTATGAAACATATAGAACAATGTTGAGTAAGTGTACTTATGCTGTCCCAGGACAGCTTTTACACTTTCCGTTGTCCTATCTCATAGGTCCATCCTTTGGGGATGTTTTCTGCTCTTACTCCTCTCTGGGGGAGGAAAGGGAGGTTATTGGCTGCTCCTGATTCGGTTTCTTCCATGCCGAATCGATTTGTGTTAAATATTTGTGTTATTGAGATAAAGATCATTTGCCTTACGCGATTCCCATCTTACAAACTCGACTAACTGACTAAATGTGACAGTTTTCCTGGCGTCCTTCAACTTCATAACGTTGGTCCGCCATTTGTCGTGCATAAAGTAGGGTAGTTTGCCTACAATACGCTTCAAGTTCTCAGAATAATCCAAAACAGTGTCTAGACGGGTCAATATATAATTTACCCCAAAAAAATTGCAAAAGTTTGTTTTATGGTTGTTTTATGTTAATATGGGTCTAGTCTACAACATACTAAAAGTTCTCCAAAATTCGAGCATGGGAACGTCACCAATTTTGAAGATTACTTTTATCGATTTTAAGTCATTTTCCATTAAAATGTGAAAACTTCAGAAAGCCATAACTCAGTCAATTTTCATGATAGATCAATGAAACTTGCATCTTTACCTAGGTTTTCAGGGTCAATCTTTCATATAAAAGGGTTCTCAGTGATGTTGATTAACCCCTTATACCATATCTAGGGGTACCCCTACCCCATATCTCTTATTATAACGCCGTCCTAATCGATAAACGAGCAGTCTTCTAATTTCACATCATTTTAACCAGCATGTTCGCACAACTTTACACATCATCGTCTTCTATCACTGGATCATTTGTCATATTGTCACAGTTGCCATCTTGGCAATGTCCGCATGCACTGGTGCACTCTAGTCCATGCTTTCTGCAGGTACACCTAAGGGCATTGCATCGTCCCGAGCAGTTGCAGTGAATCATCTGAATAAGTACATCTGGAGCAGGGCTTTTGTCTGTCATCACTGGAACAAGTTTGTCCCCTTCTACCCTCCATCCCCACTCAGATGGATCCATTTCCTCACTACAGCCCATCCACTCCATAACCTGGTAGTAGGTCCGCAAGGAATGAAATTTACAAGCCGAGGTGGTTGGTGGGAGTCGTTCAGGTGTGACGAAAGTCTTGGCTCTTGCAACTTTCTTGCAGAGCATATTGTACCTGATAGATGCCAGGGAGTCTTTCTGATCTGCATTGAACAGTGCCACCATTGCCCTACAACCGTTGGCTTCCACAACATCCGGACTTTGCTTTGGAAGAGAGAAAGCTTTTAAACAGTCGTTGATGACTTTTTCTTTCTTGGACGTGTTGATGATCCGTTGAAACACCGACTTCTTTCCAATGCCGAATATCCTGGAGACCGAGTCACATCCAGTGAAGGCATGCACAAACAACAAGTCATTGCAAACTGCTCCTCCAAGCACCTGCTTGAGTACCTTGATATTGTAGACATTTAACTTCGCCTTGTCTGAGCGGAAATATAGACCAGAACATTTGGACACGACTACATGGTGGAGCAAGAGAACAAGAAGATCTGTGTCTTCTCCAATAAGCGTGGTCGTTCTGAAAGCAGACATGTTGATGGCTGCCTTTGCAATCTCAACGTCCGCATCTCCTTCTGCTTGAAGCACGTCACAGTCTCTCTGCCGCATTCGCTCCATGATCATATGGATCAGTGTCTGCTTGTTTGTCTCATTGGACAAGAAGTCCTCCTTTTTCCCAACAAATTTTGTCACTTCTGTAATGTTCACCTTGTTTGCATTCAGCTTTCGAGTTCGACGCTGATGAGTACCATCCTTTATACTAGGCCCAACCTCATAACCATCAAACACGACAGTCGCTTTCCCATAGTGTTTGACAGTGAATGAGGCGTAATCGTCTGCAATCGAACTGTAGGTGCTCCCCTCCGTCCATTTCAAGCGGTGAAGAAGAGATCCTCCATCTAGTACATAGTGATCTGTGACTGGGACAGTTTGTGTCACAGCATTGTCTGATTTGGTCTTAACATAGTTTCTGATAGCTTCTGCCAGCTGCGGTTTGTCTGGAGGACGCAATATGTCCTTTGCTTCGAACAAAGACATCGGGTAAGGACAGAGTTCATAGGACATGACGTCATCTAGCCGAAGTTCGCCCGTCTGCGAGACTACTAGAAACCTCTGGAACAAGAGCGCTGGGTCAATAGTACGATCCTCAGAAACTTTCACTTTCTTGCTGGATGCTAGAGTCTTCACCTTTAAACTCCTTTTGTGGGAGTAGGTAAAAACTGATTGTCCGTCCATCGCTTTTACAATGTCTTTTCCGATATCGAAAAGATCCTGCACATTGACGTCTCCATTTGCTATGATCCCTGTGATAACACACCGTAATGACTCATCAGCTGAAAACGGTGTAAAGCTGTCTAGTTTTTCTGCAACTTTACCCATGTCTGCCTCATCTCTGTTCACCCTAGAGGCAGACAACTCCTTATGCTGTTCACTGGTGGTGTAACAACTTGCGGTGAGTTCTTGCATAGCCAGGTTGTAGGCAGATGACACAGTTGAGGACATAGCCCAAACTGTCCTTTGGTGCTCTGACATCCCGCTTCCTCGCGTTAGCCCCCCTTGGCTTTTTAGTGAGCGCATTAGAGTTTGTTCGATCACTAGATCAGAGCCAAGGCCAGCCCAGTATTGGCTGCTGCGTCGGATTACGTGAAACCCAGACTGGAACTTCTGATGTACTTCAGGGTTGTCATCCTTCAACGCATACATCTTCTGGAGATAGAGACGAGCGGACTTCAGATAGTTGGGATGGCCAGCGGCCGCGAATATTGGCAGGCAAGCTGAAATGGCACTGATATGCATCTCCCAAGACCCCATTCGATCAGCTGCAACAAGTGCCCTAGCAATACCTAGCATGTGCTGATAGTTTACCCACAGTTTGCTGGTTTTGGAGGTCCTTGCCAGTTCGTCCTTTTTCCGAGTTAGAGC